ATCCCAAAAATTGCCCTCGTCAAAAAAAACAAACAACAACAAAAAAAAAAAAAAACAGGGCTGAATATTTGTTAAAACATCTTGAACTGCCTATTTTACGCCTGTTCACACCAGAAAAACCCAAACCCACTGGTGGAGCGTCAGGGGGTAGGAGTGGTGCAGTTGCACCCGCGCCCTTTTGGGGACCCGGGCGGGCCCTCAGGACAACCTGAATGTTCAAATAACCTGCCAGTGAACAGCAATACTAATACTAAGTCAGTTGAGGGACTAATTGCGTGCTATCATTAAGGTTATCATAATGGTAACAGACATTTGCACCACCCACGTAGCACACAGAGTTAACTAAATCAAACGCCCCCTCCCAGCATTCACTAGTGTAGTAGTTAAACTTCGGGACAACGCTTAGTGCGTTTCATTCAAAACGATACAGTCACACAAAGGCAAGAGTAGTGCTAAAAGAATAAGGAGGAGCAAGACTGGAATACAACGTTTTAAAAGTGAAGAAACTGGATTTTCTTTTTTATTTGTTCTGCTGTTGTCAGCAAAAGTGAGCTAACGTTAGCTAACGGTGGCTAGCAGCGGCTAGCAGCACTGCGCTTCGTCCCTCAGCACCGTGGACCCGCAGCCCGGACTTTTCCAGATTTGAAATTTATAAAACCAAGAACTTTGCTTAGTGCAAGGCCAGCAGAATGTCGTCCAAATGGGTGAGTACAGTGAAATTACAGCGATGTAGCAGCACAGTTTTGTGTGTGTTCACATTAGCCGGTGCTCAGCTAATTTACAAACACTTACCCCTCACTCAGCTGCTCGCCCAGTGAAGTGTAAATGTTGATGTGTTTGTTTTGCTTGTACGGCTACATGTATGTGTAACATGCCGGGACAGGCACTCTGCTGTTGAATGCTAAATTGCCAAAGGTGGTTTTTGTTTATTCATGTCCACGGCAGTGACACAGGCTTTCTGTTTACTGTTGATTCTTTTTTGTTTGTGTGTTCGTTTATTGATGTTGTTTGTGTGTGTATTGTGCTAGTTTCTGATGGAGGCCATACCAAGCAGGATCATGTAGCAACAGTTTTGCGGGCATTTACATTAGACAGTGTTCAAAAATACACATACTCCTCTTCTGAAATAGCATATAGCGTTAATAGTAGTTGGCCTGCACTTGTTTTGGTGTTTATATTGCTTATACAGGTACATGTGTAATATACCATATTACATTTTGCTACTGACTGTTTTATTGTTGATTCATGTCCATGTTGCATTTGTCACAGTGTCCATAGCTTTTCTTTGACTAATGTTCATTTTGCTTGCCTGAATATGTGCTGTTTTGTAATTGATTATAGTGAGGCTATATGTAGGAAGATGGTTGGTAGTCTAATGTTTGCACAGGTGACTTCTTGCCCTTTTATGGGAATTGAATTATGGGATGAGGGCCTGGTATTGTGGCCTGCACCTGGTTCCAAAACTATGTTGTTCTGTCATTTATTTGTTTAAACATCATTTGTATATTCAGAATCATAGGCAGAAGGGCACAATGTTGTCCTACTGCAAAAGATGATTGGAAGGTTTCTTTTAAATACAGTATAAATGCAGTTTTTCTCCAACCTTTACCATGACCGCACATTTTTTTTTTTAACCTAGCGAGTTCGGCAATAAAGAGAAGTAGTTTAGAAATACATACCACAGTTCATGAGATGGCAACAGATAATCATGTTTCTGGTGATTGAGACTCCATCAGTGTGAAGCACCTTCATTAAATGCAGAGCCATAAAATATAGGAGATAGGACAAGATACAGGGTAGATCCCGGCTGTGGAAGATGTAATTTCTTAGCTGAATGTCCTGGAACAATCTCAAGGTGGTGATGGGGGTGTTGTAGGTTGCACAAAAGATCACAAAGATATTTCAAACATCCAACAACTGATTAGTAGGATAAGTGGTGATTGACCAGATTCATAAATGTATGTAAGGATCTGTGAATGACAAGGGCTCAGAGAGTGATGAACAGAGATGATAAAGACTGAAATAAGATAGTAAAGCACTTAAGAATTGACCAACTGTCTACAAAACCAGTGCCTTTCCCACAAGATGACCTTTGTGTTATCATGCCATCACAACAAACTAATACAGTGAATGAGGTATGCTAGCACTGTCACTGTGAGCACGCTGGTATGTTGATTTTAGTGGGTAAATCTTTGCATGTAATGACACTGCATAATCATTAAAGGATATACGATTAACCAGTAATGTCCCTAAATTGAGATGAGTACAAAGAAGGAATGAAAACATGACCACCCTCCCTCCTCGCCTGGATGGTGCTGCCAAGTCTCTGTGAGGGTTCCATCAGTACTACCCAGCAATTAAGATCTCACAGATCAAAGCAGTCTAAATGAGCTAATCCACAGAGAACCACTGGTCTCTCCTCCTCTATCTCTCCCCTTCCCTCGCTATCTCCCCCTCACCCTTGTAACTTCCTCTTGACTCGTGGCTCCATGTGCTGAATGTGCTTTGATGCTTGACAGCGGTGGGTCTCCTAAATGTAAAATGGCGAATAAATGTGCATTAATGGGTAACACTTTCATATTCTTAATGCCACTTTGCACAGGCTGTTTTCAAAGGTCTTAAGATGTAATTGTGATCATGATTCTGCAGCATTTCTAATTGATGCCCACATACAGCGCAGCCAAGTGCTGATGCCTATACCAACTTGTGAAGACCGTATCAGCAGAAAGGCTTTTTGTATAACGTTTTATAACAAGCATTATTAATGCATCTAGGTCTGCATGAAAGTTACAGTGCAACAAGCACCTTCTGAGTGTGGTGAGTTGGAACCAGCGCTGGCGTGAAAGCGAGTGACAGCCTTGAGGTCAGTAGTTGTTCAAGGGAGCGTGACGCTGATACTGTAGCTGCTAAGCAGGTCGGTCATTATCATAGAAAAAGCAGAGCATCTGCCTGTGACTCCCAGGGACAGGTTTAACGATGTGGCGCTGCTTGTCACAGGGGCTGCACTGGCAGGGCCTGTCTGTCTCTCACCCATCCTGCTCCTTCTCTCTCCCCCTCTGTCCCCCTCTTTTTCACCAGTCCCCGTTTTCCACGTCTGCCAAACAAGGATGTTCGTGTTTGCTGCTGCCTCTTTCCATCAGGGAACCATTGTGTCATGGCAGGCTTTTGTGATGAAAGCTTCTGTCTTCCCTCCTTTATTTCTCCCCACTGTAACTTGAATCTCTTTGTTTTTGTGTGCTTGTTGTCTGCCTCTAAACGACCTCTCCTCATCCCTGTCAGTCTGTCTCTCTGGCTATCTGTCTGTGTGTCTTTTTCTTCTCTAACTGTTTCTTTGTACCCGTTCTTTGTTTTGGGATTTTGTGCCACCACTGCCACCTGTGCTTCTCTTTCTTTCAATACATGAGGCAGCAGTCTTTGGCTTAACGAGTGCCATAGTCAACACTGGTCTGTAACAAACGAGGAACAAACACTTTTTGTTAAAATAACAAACCTGTTAAAATGTCAGATGTTAGCAGAGACTACAGATTTGCAGCAATAACTGTAATTATATACAGTAGAGAGAGTTTATTCAAAGTAAAAAGAAAACATGATCTGATTTCAGTTTACCATTAGAAAAAACAAACAAAAAAAATAATTAACCTGCAAAGCTGTGGATTTATTTGTCCAGATAACTAGGTAACTAGTTTTTACTAGAGAAATAATTATAATAATAATAAATTAATTAATAATAAATCCATCCTTCCTTTCATTATCTATACCGCTTATTCCTGAGTAGAGTCACAGGGTCGCTGGAGCCAATCCAAGCTGACATTGGGCAAGAGGCGGGGTCCACCCTGGACAGGTCGCCGGTCTGTCACAGGGCTGACATGTACACAAACAACCACACACACTCACACTCACTCCTACAGGCAATTTAGAGATGCCAGTCAACCTAAGCTGCATGTCTTTGATTGTGGGAGGGAGCTGGAGTACCCGGAGAGAACCTACACAGGCAAAAGGAGAACATGTAAACTCTGCACAGAGAGGGCTTGGGTCGGCTGGGACTTTAACCCCGAACATTCTTGCTGTGAGCCAACAGCACTAACCACCGCGCCACTGTGCCGCCCAGTAGTAGACTATGGTAAAGTTAAAAAAATATCTGATCTCTTGCTTCATTTTCAACAGTCTATTAAACTTGTAGATATTTTTTAGGTTAGAGACCTGAAACTAGGTCTGTAGTTAACACAGAGTCAATACATTGTCACATTTTATTCAACAAGATAAAATAAGTTCCCTGATAGACGAGTGACTAGGGCGCAGTGCTCTCGCCGCTGCAGCCCAGGTTCAAGTCAGGGTTGCGTCAGGAAGGGCATCTGGCGTAAAACACGTGCCAAATGTCAAGATGCTGTGGTGACCCTTAACGGGAAAAAGCCAAAAGTGACATTCATTCATTCAACAAGATAGAATGTCACTAAATATCTCACTCATGATTTTTTTTCATTTTTTCTGAGTCTTTAAAAAAGGCAGTTGCTAGCAAGTGGCTAAATGAGACTAGAGAGGTTGTCGATATTTTTTTTGTTCAAGGAACCAGGGAGATGCCAACGTCCAGGTTGGCCTACAAAAATACATCATCTGAATGGCACTCTACTCACCCCCGCACCAAATGACTACAGTATGTATTGTATGTACTGTATGTCCGCACAATGCACAAGTCAGGATACAGGCCTATTTCCTAGGCTTGATCCATGTCAGCACCTTGGAAAAGCAGCGGCTTGATCACATGTCCTCCACCAATCAGCACCACCTGGCAGTTTTACACTGAGGACACATTCAGTGTATGCTAATGCACTTATGCAGCATCCCTACTGTACCTGGTGTGTTGTCCCATAATCCCAACAAACCAAACCCAACTAATGCTTACTATAAAAATGATAGAGGAAAAATACAATACAAAAGATGCAATATGTGATTTTTTTTTTTTTTAGGACACATTCTGTGAAGACATTTATAGCAGTCTGCATATGCCTTGGAATGGGTGAAAATCTTTTTACACATTCTACAGGTATGTTAATTTTTCTTTCTCAGTCAGAGGTGTTTATGATGAAACCCAGGGATAAAAAAAAAAACAAACCCCACATTCTTACCAGCAAATGGAGAAATGAGGATAAGCGACTTTCTTTCAGGCTCCGGACACTGTGGAACAGAATGTGAATGGTATCTTTTATTTATGGACAGTGTTGGTGTGATACATAAATAATTTCTTCAACATGGGTGTCTAGGGCTTGCGGTGCCAATCTCAGCTGGGGCTGATTTGCAATTTAGGTGTGGCACCAAACGCCAGAAGTGCTGGATTTGGCATTGAGAGAAAATAGACAAGAGCTGTGATGGTGTGTGACACTGAAAAGGATTACATTCTGTAGCCGAAGAGCAGATTGCTGCTGCCCTAGATTGTAATGAAATGAGAAACATCAGATCGGTTAGTGGTCGTGACAAGAAAGCTGATTTTTTTATTTATTTATTTTTTTTTGTAACAGTTTTAGCACCAGAATCTAAACTATCCTGTTTTAAGTTTCCTGTGCATTTAAAATAAATTATAATTTGAACCCCCCTCCCCCCAGTGGTTGTTGTGTAGATTATTTGATATCACATCCCACACAGTGTACAGTAGAAGTCCTTTGAGATGGTTTCAGTTAAAACAGGTGACCTGTACCTAATGATTTCAACAGTAGTATTTTTCACATCTTTCTTGAGCTAATGGAGGAGGGCAGAGTGGAAGCACTGCTTCCTGTTTAGTTCTGAAAGAGCAATAGGGAGAAAGGTATTTCCATTATGTTACAGCGGAGGCAGCTTAACTTCCTCTTTGATCTGTCTATTGATTCTAGTGTACTCTGACTCTGTGTGCCAAGCCAGCAAACCACCCACCAGCTGTCCTTTCGATGTCAGGGATATGAATAGGAGTTTGATAAAGCCACAGATGGCATGCTGCTCCCACCCCTCCATAAGTGCCAATTCCTGATGTGTTGTCACATAAATGGAGTCGATACAGTTTCAATTGTAGTGGCAAAAGCAAACTTAATATAGTTTATACTTATTAGGCCAGTGTTAGCTACATTCTAAGTGAACAGGGAATATTTTGATTGCTTACATAAACTCAACTCACATGAACTTAATGACCACACGGACACACACACATACACACACGCACTTACACAAGCTGATACCAAATGTGAGCTACAGGCTGTTTGATTACATATTTTGTCTGGAGTCTGATTTACTGCTAACCACCACAGGGCTAAGTATGGTCAGAGATGAACTTTTGTGAGGATCTTCTGCATAAACATGGAGTCCAGCGTCTTGTCTTCCAGTAACATAGACTTAGACTTGACCAGCGTGTGGGTGCATTTGGGGGGACTTGAGGAGACAGACAAAGACCCCAAACTCTGCAGAGATCCACAAGTCCAGGTGATTCTGTTTCTCTCCCTTTGGAATTCACATTACAATATATTGTTCAATAAATGATGATTGGCACTGCAGTGATTCTCCCTGTGAATTAATTCTATACACGACACAATCACTGGAGCTAAAAAATTGATTAGGATGTAGAGGGAGAAACATCCTATAGGTGTCGGTGAGTCAGTGTGCCTGGCTGCATTACAGAAGGTACTGTGCTTATAAAGCCACATGTGATGCACTTTTGTTTCTTATGTTCAGCCTCTTTTTACTGACCCACAGAACACTTGTACAGTAGTACACATCTGATATCTAACACCTAATATACAAGTTGAATTGTAATTCTCTGCACAAAAGCAGCATTGTTGCCGTTATTTCTATTTTTCAGTACTGTAAAATTGTACATGGAGCTTGGCAAATGCGATAATACAGTATGTAAAACTAGATGCATTGTAAAAGGGGAATTCTACAATGTATTCACTGTTTTCTCCCAGCATCTGTGCACTTTCACACCTTTATAATTGAAACATGTATCTCACAAGGGAACAAACCAGAAACAGATCACTGGGTGATGACTGAAATCAAGGCTTGGTCACATCAGAATTTAAGAAAAGAAAATTTCTGTGAATTCATTTCGCTTCAGTGGAACTGCAGTGAGAAGAAAGAAAGCTACATCTGCACTATTTCCCCCCCATTGTGTTTAACTTGACACACAAAGGTGCACCACTGTCTAAAAGCAAACCATGCCGAGACCTCTGTCCTTTGAAAGAGAGAAAAGCTGGAGAGTCCAAAATGAAGACGGATTATTTGTTGTGTTGCTCTATCCACTTTTATTTAACCTTTTCCTGGTGCAGTGACTGCACCACAAAATAAATGATTTGCAGTCAGTCATGAGATGGGAGACGATGATATAAATCCATATTTTGAATAAACTGAACTTGTACTATTGGCAGCCAACAAGCTTGCTAACTGACAGGTTAACACTGGTCACCTGACAGCTGGGAAACTTGCTTGTTCTCTTCAGTAGCGCTTAATTGAATGAAATGGGATATAATGCCACAGGGGAATTCAACTGAATAAACAGTACAGAGAAAATAAAAAGACACTTAAAGAACTATTGTGACTGACAAGTTCTGGCATGTTCCTGACTGGCTAGTGTGTTAGTGGGCGTTCAGACTGAGTGTGGTAAAACTCCCTGCTGTGTTTTTACGCTACATTGGTGGGGGCGAAGGGTTGCAGGGGCAGTGTTGTAGGTGTGTACGATATGGCCATATTCTGATGAGTCAACGCGAGTGGCTTCATTCATTTTTCAGCCTGTGAGTTTCCGTTGTGTCTTGGTTAGCTGTGCTACTAACATAGCCTCCTATACCAGATTCAGCCCCTTTTACTGCACGGGAGTGTGTTGTTTTTGCTGGAGTCCCCTGCAGTGCAGGTGCTGGCTGTGGTTAACGCAGTCGTCCATAGAAATGAATGGAGAAGGCTGTGTATTTTCACACCTTTGAAACTCAGTCGAATGCAGTCTTAGAGTTTTAACAAATTTCCAGCTACTTCCCTGTGAATAATCCATATGTCTCCAAGCGTCTTCATCTCATATTCTGCAAAGATGCATGGATTAATTTCGCTGTGCCACTTTATGGTATAGACATAGAGATTTGACATAACAATACAACAAATTTCAAATCAATCCAACATTTCAATTTGTCCCACAGTGGCATCATTTCCCAGCTGTCCTAATAATATACAGTAGCCTATACTAATTAGTTTGAATTTGGTGCACGCAATCATTTTGCACGACGAGGTGTAACTTTTTCTTCAGATGGTGGCTATGTCTTGCAGGAAACAAACTGACAAGCAAATAAATAACTTGCATTGTCAGGCAGCTTTTGTTCTATGAGAACAGTGCTACTGCAGAAAGGAAGAGGTCTTTGAGGAAACGAAATCTCTTTATATGGAGCCACACCTGCAGTTTCATTACTTTTATTACAGTGACAGTTGAACCAGCAGCTGAAGCTTGCTTAATGTCGGGTCAAGGGCGACTTATTGTTACAAACATAATTAAGTCAGACTTGTGAGAAGCAAAAAGACCTGCAAACTCTAACTTAGAATCTGAGCTGTAAATCACTGTAAAACACAACAACCTTGAAATTCATGATTTAAATAGAAGCCACCCTTTCTTTATAACCATTGAGTTAAAAACAACCAGGGTAAGAAATATGAACCAGGCTTTACTGCACTGCATGTCCCCATTTTTAGCATAAGCACTGATATTCAAATGGTTTGGGAAAAAAATGTGAGGCAGGGGATTCTATATTGTGAGGCTCATCATATATGCATTGCACTAGTATTACTTGTTGACTGACAGAAGTGTTTCTGTTTTTGTCCCTGAGCACCACTGAGTTGTTTTTTGAGTTCTACTGTTAGGCATTTCAAAGAGTGTCATTGATGAGCTGAATATAGATATTGGATTGCTAATAAGCTGAGTGCTCCACTCATGTTGCTGAGCCTCTCTTCTTTCCTAGATACTGAATGCCCCTTGTTTTATGTTATGTAACTTTCCGTTGGTGCCACCAGTGCTGACAGTGGCAGAACACAAGGACTGCTCGTATCTAAAAATGTCCTCCTAATACCCCCTCCTGAGTCTTAGAAGTGAAAGGAGGAAGGACAAGGCGTTGCTGTGACACAGAACAGTGGGGAACATAACTAGCGAGCAAAATCCTCAGGTCTCTTCTTTGTGCACTGAATCCTGACCTCTGAAAATAAGAAACAAAAGCCTCATGCTGCACTCCAAAGTCACACCAAAAAATCATTACCAGAAAAGGCTCCACTGCTGCCATATGTGGGTTTAAATGTCAGCATTTTTATTTAGCTATTTATGACAGTATTGGAAAATATAGTCATGCATATGTTCAGTACCAATGTGCATATTATAGTTACCACCTTTGCTTTTTCTGTTTCTAATTCTGGTGTAGGAAAAAGGAAAGTTGCATTAAGTATTCCCATGCGCATACTGCCACAGAAAGCAGGCCATGTAGAGGAATTATGGTGCTCATTTTTCCCTTCGCGGCAAAGAATTTCAATGTTGCCACTGTGTTGCACCTGCTCATGAGGCAGAGCAAAGCAGGTCTCCAACCAGTTGTTCATCAACCGTTTGTGCCATTATCTGCATTTAAGTGCAAGAGACTTGGATTTAACCTTAAAACTTTTTGTGCTAATAGCCGAATACAGCCCACAGCCCGGCCCAAGTCTCATAAAACACCAACTTTATTGCACTAACATGTCATAAAGGTAATTGTCTTTCACACACACACTCTGGCCCTTAAATACTGCTCTAAAGCCTATTTTCCTCTGACTGTCACCACAAACAGTCTCAAGTGTGCCACTTCACATTCTGCAGAGCCAGTTCAGAGAGAGGAACCTTGAACAAAACTGTTAAATCACAGGAGGCGATATGGCTGTAATGCTGGACAGATATGATGTTGTTACTGTATATGGGCAGGAGCGTAGTCATTTGTCAGTTTTAGTCACATCTGCGAGCTTGAAATGGCAATTGACCTTCTACTAGGACCTGTCTCACTTAGTTAACGCTGGTACTGTAGGCCTACCTGTCAAGCTTTATGTTCTCACATGGCACGGATGCAGCTGAAGTATTAACTGGGACAAATTTACCATTACAATTCTTTGTACTTACATTATCTGGTTGAAACCAACTGGCTCTGACTGAGTTCTTGCTTTTCCAGCTGAATACATGGAATCATACTCAAAGACTGAGGCTTAAGGTCATGTCCCAGACAAAAGCAGTCAGCATCTTCTGTTGACGACCCATCCATTATTTATACTGCTTAATCTTGAATAGGATTGTTGGGGGCTGGAGCCTATCCCAGCTGTCACTGGGCGGGAGGCGGGGCACACCCTGGACAGGTCGCCAGTCTATCACAGGGCTCAGTTGATGATCCAACACATGTAATTAAAAAAAAAAACTGCATTTTTCTTGTTTTGCAGTGTAGAGCTACTTAGTCATAGTATTTCAGCTATGATAAGGAAAAATGTGAGCTCGGACACATACAGTCTAACGTAACAAAACCCTATTTAGCTGCTTAGCTTACATACTTATGAGCTACGTACTTGGACAAGCAAGACAGAGATTAGAAACTTTATTTGTAGAAACTGTATTTTCAGTATGTTTCAGTTTCAACATTACAAGACAAGGTGAGGAATGAGGTCTGTGTTTGAACCTACAACTATTTCAGATATCAGGTTTGACCTTTAACCCCACAAAATATGAAATGATCCTTGGCCTTGAATTAAGGATTAGTTACTACTGCTTGTCGTAAGCTAGTTAGCTGGTCATGCTAACGTTTGTTATGTCTGATGGGATAAACACAGTATTAAATCATTCCTTTCACTTTTGCACTTGTGTATTTGTTTTGGAACAGATATTAAAAGACACCACCCCTTAAACTGGAAATTATTGCTCTAAATACAGCCAAATGTAAACTATTTTAATATGTGAAATCCAAAGCTTGACAGGCCTGTTGTGCGTAGCTGTCTTTGCTAAGCTAAGCTATGATTGGACAATCACTGTTTTGGGTAGAAGTTTAGCAAATGGTCAGTTGTAAAGAATTGAATGATGTTTGACTATCAAATGAACTGATAGTCACATATCACATGCTTCTGTTTTTTCCAACAGATTTATAGACCATTAGCTTTTGTTTTTTATTCTCCAAAAATGCATTATTTACTTTGCTGAATACATCACATCCATTTCTATTCAGTTAGCTAGACTGCACAGTGTACTCACCCATTTTGAATAGGCCTACCTCATCTTAGTTTCCAGAAGTTAAGGAAAGAGTTTATGCCAAAAAAGTCATTCGCTACTCTTTTCATTGACAGTGTCATTTAATGAGAGGCACTTACAGTAGACTCTAACACAATTAGGTGTTTCATGACAATCTTGGGAGGAAAATTAATCTCTCAAATGAAATTGGTCTCAGTGCTCAATATGTCACCCAGCGGGATGCGACTTCATTTCTATTCATTGACCCTCTATGAATTAAAGCTCATTTCCTGAACGTGTCACTTTGCGGAGGCTCCCGCAGCAGGATGCGAGCTTTCAACCGTACCAGCTCAGAAAACCTTCCCCTCTTCCCCTTTGATTCAAGGATTAGATTTGATTACAGATTTGAGCTGGACAACCTCTGCGACTGCCGTGCAATCTGCTCCCCCCCAAGTCTTCTTGTTAAATTTACGTAAAGCTGATGGGATTTTGGTTTGAGATTCCTCTGATTCTCCCACCTTTCATGAGTACAACAAGGATGGGTTACAGCATTCTAGAAAAAAAAAACAGCCTTAGTCATAAAACCAAAACGTTTTTTTGTTGACTGCTATACAGTATTGTTACCGGCAAATGTTGCTTCAGTGACTTGGTCAAATATTGGCATTTATAGCTTTCAAAAATCCTTTAAAATGACATTCAGCTCTTGTCATTGGCTTGTACGTATCTACAAATAATTACACTGTTTCACTCTACACATCTTGTGTCAAATTCCATGTTACTACTTAATAAAATTACTACTTTTCAACAACAAGACAAAGACATGTTTTTCTTTTTCCCTTTGGTGGAAGTGTATTGTGTAAGTGTGTATGTAAACATAGTTTTGACAGCAGCTCTCAAATGAAGAGAACCAAGTGCCACACAAGCAAAGTAATAACAACCAAACTCCTTATGCACTCATAGTCCACATCTAGGACAGATCTGCAGCAATAGAAAACAAATAATACATCTTTTCTTTTGCGTAGTCATGAAAATATCTGTTTTATACAAAAATTAAATACAGTTACACTATGGTACAACTTTTTTTTCCCCATACAAGTGAGCTCAAGCATGACTACAATGCCTCTGAAAAAGAAAAAAGGAAATGTACTAGATCGGTACTTGTCAAGGGGCTTGATAATTATACATGTGCAGCATTGGCAAAACAATAGACACCCTTCAGTAAAGAGAAATCACCAGTCACCAAAGCAGAGGAAAGAGAAAGTGGGGCAAAAGGGTAATCGAGTGAGGGAAGGGAGAGAGAGAAGAAGGTGAGAAAGGAGGGACTGAGGCAGGATGTTTTGAGATATTCCCGTCCACATTATTATTTTTTTTTAAATACCTTTAGATGATACTTAGAAACCATGTGTCTAGTTTTGTACAATTTGCTCTCAGAATGTGGGTAGCTCTGTCTGAGTCTTGAGTCTGCATTAAATGAAGTATCAGCCAATGACAATCGCAAAGCGAGGGCTCCAACCGTTTCCTCTGTGACATTATAGGACAGCAGTGACTTCAGCAACCTTTTCATAAATCCTTCTAGCAGTCAGTATAATAGATGAGTGCACAGCCTGTTGCACTAATAACAGATTTGGCCACCACTGTGGTCTTAGGGTTTGGTTGAGGATGGGAGGCCATTCGGGTCTCTCAGCAAAGGGAAACAATCAGTATCAGGGTAAGTGCGAGTTGGCAGCCGGTGAGGGGAAGATGCAAGTAAGCCTGTCCAGACAAATGGCCATCACACTCTCCCGGGCCCTGGCAGTGAGCTCTCTCACACAGGATGCCTGTGAAGCCAGGGGAACAATGGCACCGCTGATGTTGGTCGCACGTGCCACCGTTCTGACAACGCAGCATCGCATTGTCGCACACTCGAGCTGTGGAGACAAAGGAAAAAGGGAAGGGGGGCGGTGATTAATAGATCACTCAGTGATAGAGTGGCAGAAAACATCAACAGGCAGGTTCACAGGGCACAAGCTGCCTCTTCTTGTCCTGTCTGCATTGCTCTGTGTCCTTAGAGTACATCTGACATATTAGGCAGGGTGAAACCAAGGACTTTTATGAAGGAGTGCAGAGAGGAAGAGCAGACAGATAATCAGGGCGCATACTGTATGGTTATCTGAATGAACTGAAAGCCCACAGCCTGTGAAAACCTTTCTGTGAGTGATTTTTTTTAAATGACAAAAGAACACAGACAATTTATGGATATTTTTAGAAGCACCCAAGGGAATTTAGAGCAAATAATTCTGGCAAAACAAAAGAGCAAACAAACCACAGCAGTGATGAGGTGAAATTAATGATTAGTGAATCAAAGGGTGCCACAGAGTATTGTGAAACAACCCCTTTGTGCAGGACAGTAGAATTAAAAATTGTTTCCCTCTGGCACAATGACACTCAAAGAACAGAAACAGGAGAAGACATGGGATGGATACCAGGCTCCACCATGCCACCACTGCCTTTGATATGCAAATAAGCACTTCCAGGTAAATCACCCGTTGCTGTTATTTTCCTTTCGGTAGTTAATATTACAACAAAAAACTACAACGCTGTTAGAGGTAAAAGATGTAATATCCAGGACTGCATTGTTCGAATGTCCAGTGAACATTTCTTTGTTTTGTATTTAGACTGATTACGACCAACTAAGCAAATATCCACATTTCCAGACAAAAACTCACGACTCAATTATCCCAGGAAGCTTCTCTGCTGGCAGAGGTGAAATCCTGGAAGAGGTAATATTTGCCAAGAGATTTCAGTGTAATTGGATCTCCCCCCCTGCATAAACAGTAATCACATTTTTGGTTTTCAGTAATGTGACTCATGCACCAGAATAAACTGAACAAACAATCATTGCTATGGCCAAAACTGATTAAAAAGGAATTGATATTGCATTTTACTCGATAATATTTCAACCCACTTCACACAGACACCACTGCTGTTATGTATTTTAAATGGAAATTCCACCGGTGGATAGAGGATTTTATCATCAGTATGGAATTTTCAATAACTTTGTGATAGTTTGTTGTAAATTACTCTTTTGGTGGGCCCACTTTGCATGTCTCGTCTGTCTCTACTTTTGATCACCCGGACAGATTTGATGTAATGGCTTTTAGTTGTGTTCTTCTGATTTTATGTGTTTATAGAACGATAGAGAACGAGCAAATATAGCAGCTCTCGCAGCCACTCAGATCCTTAGTTAGAATGCGGCAGGTCTCGTGGCTGTGTTGCATGATAGATTACTCCCTGAGCGACTGTTGAGCACTAGTGCAAAATAATGTCTTGCAAGAAGCCACTGCTTTTTGATTCAGAGACTGACACCAAAACTTGACATTTACCATTGTTGTTTTAAATCGATTAAAAATTTTCTGCCATGAAACTTTTTTTTTTTGAATCAATGCAGGGGATATGATATTGTGGTGTTTATACTTGACATAATATACTGAAACACACACACACGCACACACAAAAGACACAACAGACCCTGATATGCAAATTACACGAATAAACTGTTTATATTCATTTTCCCCTAAAGGGCAAATCAATGCTGAACAAGAAAAAGAATTGCACTGGATATTTTTTGACAATTTTTATAATAAGAGGCAGTAGCTGTGAAAGGCACTGGATTAGAATGGCTGTGTTGCTACTGGGTGTATCACAGGCAACCATTGCTGGAAAAAGTCAACTCCTCTCATTCGCTGAAAAGGCAGAGTCCTCCCTGCCATGACCATCATACTGTATTGATATTTTGCAGAAAAGCAGGACAATGTACATATTTTGCAATTGCCTGGTGTTATACAGTAAGAATTTAATACTTAAAGTGACTATAATCAATATTTTTTATCAATGGATTAAGTTACTATAAGTAAAGTGAAGCTCTGCAGTTCCCCTCAGCTCTACCAAGCATTATATCATCTGTTAGCTCATTTTGGTTTACTCTCCCTGCTCTCTGTGTTGTCTTTGGCAGCAGCAGGCAGCTATTTTTAGCAGAAAAGCTCTGCAAACTCTGTGTACACTACCTGCCCAGCACCAAACGGTAGACAGGCGAAATTAGCAGCTAGCTATTGAGCACAGTGCAGCATTTCAGGGATTTAAAACCAACTAAAAGGAGAGCAAAAATTAAGCTTCATCAGATTCAACACAACTGCTGGATGTGTACACAAACAGCTGTTTTCTGACAAGTTTGCCATCTAATGCTGATCAAAAGTGGGTGTCAGGTTCGTAGCCTGTTTCCACTGCCCCCAGCTGGATAAAACCTGATCAAAACCTGTCCAAAAACACAGCATACAGATTAGGCTTCAGCCCAGCTCAAACATGTCTCAGGTCCTGTCAGTCCTGTTCCAAGTCTGACAGCACTAGACCTCGTGGCCAGTCCGCTCATGCCTAATCATAAATAAATGATAAAATAAAAATAAAAAAGCTAAATAAAATTACTACCTTACACATGGTACATCTACAGTATACCTGAACTTTTCATGCGTGAAAATAGACTTGTGAATCACATAGTGCTGCCACCCTGTCCTCTGTGTGTTCAACCATTAATGGCCTCCTGGCTACACCCCAATCAGTGATATCAAATCAGGTTTTCTTATTTTACAGCTAATGGAAAACACCTGCGCTGTGTTTCGGGAAAAACTTCCCCGGGATCGACTGAGTCTCCATTATCTAGTTCTACACATTAAATTTGTTGCCTGTGGCCCAAGGATAATCTGAGCGTCCTCCAGCAGACCCTCAGGACCCTTGTCTTTCTAAAAGCATCTGTATTGCAGTTAGTTTGCTTATGCAGGCACTTTCACCTGGGGTGTCTTCATGGAGCAACGGAGTCTGCTGTCATGACAGAATAGAGTAAAATAAAGCAATTATTTTGTGTCACTCACATAGGGACCGGGTGTGTGAAATAACAGTAAAATCTGGGGCTGCATATGTAAAATGAGTTTTACTCAGACCTGAACAGTGTGCAGCAATCATCAGCATACCTAATTAAAACATTAAACTTTTTTCAAATTGTAAATGTGAAATATAAAATGTAATTATTATCAGATAGATAAAGCCAAGTATTAGAATACTAAAATTGAAAACCAATGACCTACCCAACGAACGAACGAATAGTCAGATATCTGGGTCAGGCCCCTAGTCTGAAGCATAAGTCCCATAATGCAACTCAAAAGTGTATTTTATTAGATACTCCCGGTCTGGCAAAGTGCCTTTTTTTTTTTTTTATACTCAATGCTCCCAGCTTTTAGCACAGGCTTTCTACTTAAAATTTGTTTTCCCAATCTGAAATAACCTTACATGTTTAGGGGTTATTTCTTTTTCTTTGGAAAGCTCCCTCCTGATGCATAGAAAATATTAAAGAACAGTGATGAAAACTTGATGTGTAAAACTGGTGGTGTGCACCTTTAATAATAATAATAATATACAATATAATGCATTTTTTCTACACACACCTTTATCATATACAGTATAGGGATGCAAACCTGCTCACTCCCTCTCAGACTTGTGTTGGTGGCAAGTGAGAACACAGCAATTCCAGGTCCTGGCTAAGCATCATGCGTACTCTTTCAAAGCCATATGTGCGCCTCACACCTCTGACAGATGTGTGACATTTTAGCAGTATAACTGTTATGACAGATCCATCCTTGAGCTTTGGTGTTGCACGAAGCAACATGGAGAAAATTCGCCACAGCAACAGCACAACAGTGGTAGATACTGTAGGAAAGGCAAAAAACTGAATTCTGTTTCATACTGCTACTTGTGTGACTGGAGCATAATCCAGTTGAACAGTCTGTATTTTAAATGTAATTTTGTCCTGTTATATTGTACCATACACTCCAGTGACTGGATTATTGTGCCAGTCAGGACACATTTAATCTACTATAATACGTATCATTTTAGTGTGACATTTTTAGAGGATCTGGCAGTCTGTTTATGTTCTCTGTTTCTGCGTGGATTCTTTATGTCCTCAGATACTCGGCGACTGAAGTCTCTAAGATTCAGAGAGTCACAGCATGATAACAAGCTGAAAGTCACAAATCACTGTCCTGAACTATAGCTCCTGTCACTCCCTTTTGTGGAATATTGAGATCTCAGAATCATCTTCATCATCTCATCTTAATTAGTAGAAATAAGTTCTTTTAAATAGCCAGTGTCCATTCATATCAACAGATCTGATATTTCACAAATCACTAAGTTTTGTTGCAAGAAATACTCTGCAGACAGAACAGCACCTCCATATATTTATAGGGATTTATTTAATATTTTTAAAAGGCTTTTGTAACCATAGATTCACCAATGCAATTAACTATAACTGGAGACAGTTTTCAGATACAGGATCTGCTAATTATATTTTCTGAGACAGAATAGTGTTGCTTCAATTACATTGGATCAATATCTTTTGCCGTGATGTCAGGGTAAGCTGAAACTCGCATTCAGCTATGCCTCCTGTTATCATATTAACATGAAGTCTTCATCATTAGTCATGGCTCGAGGCGCTGAAGTTATAAATTGTCAGCTGAATAGTAGCATTTCACGACAGAAGAAGATGCTCTTGCATCCAAAGTACCTAATTTTTATTTTACTAAGAAATGTACTGTGGTAAGACGTGGCAGCAGACCTCTTTTTTTTTAAACTTTGGAGGTTGGCGGTTTCCACCTGCTACTTGTCTGTATGCTAAGCTAAGCTAGGCAAAGAAAGGAAATCCATATAGTTCTCAAAATGTCTTACTATTTCTGTAAAATATAGCTACGTTTGTGGCCATTTTAAAATATTTACAGTGTTTCTGTTATCGGTGTCCCCACTGGGTTCCTGTAAATTCTATACGAGTCAATGCATTTAATGTTGACTTCTCTCTTCATAGTTACAAAGTCATTGGTGCTTGAGATGTAGTTCTGCATTGCATTTCCCATCACATTTGGAAAGAGACCTTTTCCAGTTTAGATTTTCATAGGTTATAATTTAGAAAGGTTGCAAAAGCAGAAATGCAAAACATTCTCTGATTCCAGCTACACAAATTTAAATTATAAACTTTTTTGTTTTATAAATACAGAAAGTGCAGTGCACCTACAGTACATGTACAGAAAAACCCATCATGAAATCGATATAGGTTAGATAATGGTACAGTTTTACCCTCTCTATGGAAATGATGTTAATTATGAAAGAAAGCAGTATTGTGTGTAATCCACTACAGTACAGTTACTGGGTTTCGCCTCTGACTGCAGAAAACACTAGATTATTTTTAGAGATATATCTTGTCCCTCAGCCTTGTGGATCCAGAACAGATAGTGGAAATCCAAACAGTGTGCCTTAATTTTTTCTCTTCTGTGAGAGCAGTGGTGCAGATGTGACTTAACACTCTCTACACAGGATATCTGGGCTTGAGGATTAGCTGGAGATAGCTGGAGATCAATCTACATAAACCTCCCTGGAGCCTCTTCTCTCCTTCCCTCTCTTTCCTTTTTTTTTTTGTTGTGAACATGGCAGAAAGGGTGTGCCCCAAGAGAGCATTCTAGGTAATTAAAAAGAGGGCATGAGCAAAGAGGTTAGGAGGCCGTGGACTCGGTGATCATGAGGCATGTGGTCCGTTCGTTACAGCACTCACACAACAAAAGGTTTGCCACGCAAGAACCGGCATGTGTTTGTTGATGTGTGTTCGTGTGCATGCAGGATGAAAAAAAAAACTGGGCTTTGGGAAAACAACCTACTGTATACTGCTTTTTACATATTCTACATTACACCTTTTTCACCCCAAACTGCCAATCAATAAACACTCAGTTCTTTTAGTAGATTGTTAAAGTCATGCTGAAGTTCCAAAGCCTATAAGCCTACCTTGGTTACGATTTGCAACACCGAGAGATGAAGCATTTGCTCGATCTGTGTAAAAATGGGAAAGGATATATATTAAACTGAGTTGCTGTTCTGTATATTTCATGCTGTTACGTAGGTAAAGCACAGGGACAGCATGCATACATTATAGTTTTTTTTTTTTAATAATCTGTTATCTGGGCTTATTTACTCTCAGAGTTATTGGAAAACATCTGCCATATGTTTGGAGTAGTAAATGGGCTAATGTAGAATAGTGTGCATGCAGCTTGAATGAGTGAATTTTCTACGAGATAAAGGCAGAGACATGTACACATAGCTGCTGTTGTTATCCAGCATGAGGAGTCACCTTCAGGCATCAACATGTGTAGGGATGCATGGTGGGAACCACGTCCTCATAAAAAATGGCTTTCTTTTCTCTGGCTCAGGGCAAATATCTGTCTGTGTGCTTATACAAGTGTAGCAGGGAGGAATCATTCTCACTACTGCTTGCTGATACACTGGCCCAAACATGCAGGACTTCTACAGTATTTTATGCTCTATAGGAAGACGCTTAATCGCAAACCACACTAGTGCTTTTGTAGATTTTAGCTAATTAAATACAAATTATGTATAATTAAAATTACCGCTGAACATTTTGCAAATGATGCTGCAGTTTTAAGGCATTTTTCTTACTTTAAATCAATGGATGAATTGATGGAAGGTAGAAAACCTTCCGGGCATCCATTGAATTCCATTCATTTCAGTAAAATCAAAAAATCGATTAAAATGTGCTTGTGGTGTGTAATTCATCAACAACATATATAATTATAAAGTAAATGACTTTGAAACAAAAATAAATGGAAGTCAACCATTTGTTTTCATTAATTTTCCAGAAGTCAGGAACACAGTTTTTCAGAAACATGAAACCGAACAGCATGGCTTACAAAACTGTTGGTAGGTACAGTATGTCAAGATAGAGTTGTACTAAATTGTTTAAAATGCTAAAAAAGGTTTATTAATTTAAAATGTTTTGTTTTTCATAATACAGTTTCTTTATTTGGGAAAGAAGAAGCAGTTGTATTGTGCACTGGAGACATGTTTTCTCACACCATGCACTGGTTGACCTCCATTCATAAAAGAAGATTTTAAAGATGTAATTCTATATTTATACTTTGTTAGGATGGATCTTTTTACAGTGGAAATGTGCACTCATGAGCACTGTAATGGTAATGTATGGCACAAATTCATTCAAACACAAGTTGATCATTACTGATTAGCACCATGGCAAATTAAAAAGCTTGAGCAACTTACGCACTGGTCCGTGATTACTGGGAATACCTGTGAAAACAGCAAAAAACATTGTTTTATTAAAATGTGGACTTCCTTCTTGAACCTTTGATGTGTATAATTCAAAGCCCAGCAACAATTATCCAGTTGATCTCCACTGTATCCCCTGATTAGCAGCAGCTATGAGTCTGCAGAGAACCCGGTCACTGCATGGGCCAAAACCCGCCTTCCTCTGATGATAATAACATGTCTACCATTGACAAAATGTCAAAGGAATAAACAAAAAGTCTTTTCATCCGTGCTTTCATTCATGTTTGGAATATAAATGTTGCCACCAGCTTGTGCTTTTTACCTGGTATTGACTTATCTTCAAGGGTAGATATTATTTCATCATCTTTGGATCAATGAATCTCTGAGTCAAATGAGTCAGATAGCATCCCCAAATAATTTAGTGTTTGTTGTAATCACCTCGTATCTCAGGTTAATTGGACTTAGAATATAAAGACAACAGTGATAAAGGCAATCAAGGAAACTGAAGAATTACAGAAATAGTTTCAACTGTTTACTTGACACTCATAGCATGTTTCCACATAGAAAACATCACTGGTCTCTAAATTAAAGACAGTGGGCTAAAAACAAACAAACAAAAAAATAAAAGTTCTTTATGTGTCACCAGCAGGGAAATCGTACTCCAAATTTAGTGTTTCTGGTCCTTTTCACAAGCCTTATCAGTTTGTCCTTCTTCAATTATGTTTCAGTGTGTTTCTCATATTATTTGCACCCCATTCATCACTCCATTTCTAGTTTGAGTCTGTCACAGCAACTTTTGGCAAGACCACAACACTACAGCAGCAGGAAAATCACAGATTTTAAGCTCCAATTTGCAAGAAGGCAAGCAAGCAGCAATTCCTAAGCAGTAGTTGTTCTTTGTAAGAAATCGAGGCCAAACAATATTGCCCTTTGAAGCCTGAATACATTCTACAGTCTGATCAAAGTCTAAGCCCCAACCCCTCTTAACCTGTGAACCTGCTTTGGAACACAAGATGAGTTGACGGTCCCTGCAAAGTGGACTGTCAGGATAATTCTCGAAGTGATTCCTCTTCTGCTCTGCAGGCAATTTACAGATTTTCTGCTCTTTTCCCTTTTTGGGGGGGAAACCTTGGATTTGAATCACTCTCTAGCACTTTATGCTGCCGACAGCTATGGCTCAATGCAGCACAGGGCTCCATTTTGGGCTCTAATTTGTTAGATTAAGGGTCACATATGTCCATATCTGCATGTGCTGGGATTTGAATATGTAATAGACCTCATCCTGTTTCTACCTGTGGGATAAATGACTTCCATGATTAACGAGGAAGACTTGATGACAGATGAAAGCTATTAAACCATAATTATATTTTGCACGTTCAGCATATTTATCTTGCTACAAGGGCTGTATGTTTAATATCCTCATTGGAAATATGAGCTTCAAATAATAGATAAAGGCATGTCACTGGGCCTGGGCTTTACTTATGAAAGAAATAAGAATAATTCAAGACAAAAGTGTGCTTATTCAACACCTGGGGGACCAATATTGTTACGTCACTTCCATGTGCAACATTATTGCATTTTATGCCACTGCCAAACAATTGCCTATTATTGCTTTTGATTTGGCTAGACCTTGGTTTCATCAGTTCAGTGCAGATGCGGCCAAGTGTTGGATTTTTTAATAACGGCCTGTCAATCTGACAGTGAGCACCCCATTGCAGAGAGACTCATAACACAGAAGAGGTGCAGGGATAAATCTTGCAATATCTCCTTAGAGTTCACAAACACTCCCACAAAGCAACTCCCACACACAATCAAACGTAATGCATGGGCAGAGAGGCACATGGAATTTTGTGCACAAACATACACATACAACCACAGATTCATATGACACGCACACGTGACTGCATGATTGTCCAGTTCATTATCAGCAAATACCCCCAAAAATAAACAAGAAAATGCACTGTTACTATGCAGTTTACTCTCAATATCAGTGGATCAATAGCGGTATTATATCACTATACAAATTTAAGTCACATAATCAAACTGAGCATCTGAGCAAAATCTGCTGTCAATCCCAACAGACTGCTGCCGTGAAAGCTTCTAAATGCAATGCTGAATCATTGTGAATGGACAACCAGAGGGCTAGATCTTCCACCATCTGGCCTCGCCTGGCTGTCCACAACCACATCCCTGAGTGGCTGTATTAGATTTATTGAGGCAATGAGCCCCCTCCCTCAGGCATTGGATGTGATAAATGTGACTCAGCTCCCATCCAAGATTATAATGGGGATAATGCAAAAGAGCACCTTCTGCCTCAGAGAAACCATGTGACCAGGCAAAAAATTTGCATTAGTTCACACTTGTCATGGAGTTAAGGTACGGACGCTAAATTCAGTGCTAAAGTATCGGAAGGAGTGATATTCACTAGTAAATTAGCTGTACCGAACGGCAGAAATACCGATGTACTTACATATATTTGCAGTTCCTTTGGGTATAGGGAGGTAAGAACCTACACTCCAGGCTCTTCCGTGGTAGTGCCTCTTACAGCGGCTGCAGTCTGGTCCTGTGGTGTTGTGTTCACACTCGCAGCCCAGCTTCCCCTTGTCAAACACACAGCTGTTGGCGTGCAGGTTGCACTTGCACCTGAGACAGAAAGATAACAACAAAAGACAAAGACATGAATAGGCATCGTTGTACACCTCTTGAGTCACTGCCTTCTGTTGGCTTTTTCTCTATAATAATAATAAGGTCTAGATCTTACTATGTGATTTGGTGCTATACAAATAAAATTAATTTGAACTGAATTGAGGGAATCTACAAAGACTGCTCATGCTGCGGTGTTTTTCCTTTTTTTTTCTTTTTTTGCACCGTTCAAATTTTTTAACAGGAGTAAATTGAAATCCCGGCGAGTTATCCGACTTGGATTGTGTCTTCACAAAGCTTTGTTATGCTATTCTTAAAAAAAAAAAACAAGGCTTTATTTGTGAGTGCCCCTGCGGAGAGCACGGCAATGCGAATAAGGTCACTTTAGCCATTTTGAGAGCAAATGAAAGGCACTCTGTAAGATTCCCTAATTGAGCACAAAACAGGGATCTGATAGAGAGATGATAGCATAAAGAGAAGCTGTGCAGCCTGAAAAATATCTTGTTTTCTTTCTCTTCAAAGTTACTGTGTTATTTGGCAAGGGAGCCTTCAGGCAGGAAACCCTACCAGTCGGCGGAGCTGGTTTATTAGACAGAACTGTGGCAGACCTGACAGATGCTCCTGACAGGAGAGGAGAGAAGGCCTGATGGCTTGCAACACTCAACTAAACCCACCCCGCTTTTGACCACATGGAACAAATGTGCTTTTATTTCCAAGCTTGTGGGGAAAAAAAAACAAGTTGAACAACAAGTCTGAGTCTCCAAACAACCTGAATGAGCAGACAGTAAACTGCAAGTTCTCAGAATATAAGCCTTTTGATTTCAGTGAGAGGTGTGTTTGCTTCCCGTATAGAGCTCTATCAGAGGAAGGAACAGGCTGTGTTTGTTGTCACATTACAGTTTCATATTCCAGTTGTATTCCAAATATATGTCTCCCAATTTGATTTTATTCCTAAGAGGGTAAGAGGTTACAACCAGTGACCTCAGCTTCTTGGGAGGTTGGGGGTTGACACAGAAACAGTTGGGGGGGAGCCATCGAGAGGATCTGACACAGTAGACCCCCCCAGGGGTTTGGACAGCTCATGGTTTCACATCATGTCTATGTTTGTTTTTACGAAGTGCTTCCGAGGGAAGATTTCTTCCATTTGAGACCGAAGAGCTGGGTATCCGTTGCCTACGATAACCAGTGAACATGAGACAGAGAAATGACAGCAACAGTCAGAAATACATTCATTCTAATTGACTTCCTGGCCTTACTGTGACATCTCGCATTAATGATAGATAACTGCGGGAAACAAGGGAAACTGTAGCCTGTTCTGTATAACTGATAAGCAGCAATAGAAAATCAGTGAATAAGGTCTAAAATAATGTGTGTGCTGGGTAACACCCCTTATAGATTGCACTTTATTATAACCACTGTTCTTTACTATTTATGAGCATGATGCACACAATTACTAAATGTCTAAAAGAGCTACTCTGAAATGAAGGGATGGATATATAGATGCAAAGATGGATACACATAATTCACATAAACCTTAAGAAACCTTAAGTTCAAGCCAAAAATCTGAATGTTATGCAGTTCCAAAGCTGCATAATATATATAGGGGTGTGACGATATACTTGGCTCACAAGACGAGACATGAGATTGAGACAAGATGATATTTTAACATATCTTTTTATTTATTATTATTTACAATATTTTATTTTTAAGAAATCTTCAGTATGGAAATATGTAACTGTAAAATTTGTCTTTTATTTGGTTGAAAGTCACAAAATGCAAAACGTGCATTTTGAAATGTCTCAACTAATCAACTTCAGTTCTACTTTCAGTACGAATTATCATATGCAGTAAAAGACGACAATATGCGGACACTGTAGAAGGTTTTGCCACAAACTCAACTGACTGGCTTCTCTCCTGTATGATTTTACATGAGTCTCTTCAGACCTTATAACTGCGTGAACTAACTAAAGCTGCGTGGCCTATGCTATTGTCACCCTCACTGTACCTCACCCAACGGTGACATCATCCGGCAAAGGCGCTGTGTTGACTATTCATGTACGGGGGACAATCAGGATGCCCATGGAAAGAAGACTTTTTTGTTTACTTTGTTAGCATGAATATTCACTGTTGAATTTGGGACACAATTAATGCACCATAACAACACACCATGCATTGTCATTAGTACTGGATGGTAAACGGTGTTTTTAATCTATCAGTGCAGACGCACTGCTGGTAGAATTGGTGCTAAGGTAGAATAGGCTATATTAGAAGCATGGCTAACCAAAACATAGAGGAAGCTCACAGGCTGGAAATGTAAATGAAGCCACTTGTCACAACATGGCGGTATCATGCCTACAACTCTCCCCTGCTTACCCCCCGACCAACACAGCCCTATGCGTTAAAACAAAGCAGGGTGTTGTGTTTTCGCTGGACTAATGTGAATGTGTCACATATGTACTGATATCATGAGACAGCTTTTACCTTGACAAGAAATATTGTCATGCTGTAGTATTGCGAGGTCTCATGGAACGAGATCTCGTCACACCCCTAATTATATGTCTATAAATCTGTGAACTCACCATCTTTCCTTAGAGTAAGTCCTTTCTCACAATATTTGCAACCATAATAGATGCGACTGGATGCCAACCCGTATCACATCAACAAAATGCTAGTGCCTCTTACCATGCATTCCCTATAGTCCTTAACTTTTTAATCAATTAAAGTCCCTGCTCCATAAAATTAATGACTGGGTATAGCTCTTCTGCCATGCAGACAGCAGCAGCTCCCTGAAGTCAAGAGCGATGAGATTTGACCTTCCACTTAATTAAAAACCAGCAAAATCTGGATCATCTGGCCCAACCGTTGTGGGTAGCACGTTCATAGAGGATGTGGACTCAGGGGAGCTTGGGGACGTACGTAATGCTTTTGCCGTTGGCATTGTCATATTGAAATCAGAGAGGTTTTTCTCTCTCCAGTTTGGGTCACAAGAGGAATGTGATTCCCTGTATGTCCAGCCTTTGAACAGCACTGTTACAAAGACACATTTCATAAAGTTTTAATGGCCTTTTATACTGTGTTTAGCCCAATAGCAATTGGTAATATCCATTATTCAAGCAAATAGCCCCCCCCACCCCCCCACCCTCCGGTTAGGAGACATCTGGCTTCTCTGTCCTTCACATTAAGTGCACTGCTTTAGCTAGGCATACAAATGCTCTTAGAGACAATGAAATGATTGTTCTTATTGGTGTATGAATGTGTTTTGTGTGCCAGAAAGAGTTTAGTAGCAGCTACTGTTATACTCTACTTAAAGGCTCAATTGATCAAATTACAACAATCCAATTTTCTCCAAAAAAAAGTCTCATAAACACCCACGTAGGTTGATTGCCTCTACCCTCTGATATGACCCATGGTTCCCCTGTGGAAGCAGGCTATATGCTATAGATAAAATGTTAAAATTCACAGAAAAATAATTAACTGCCCTTTTATGTTGTGAAAATGCTATGGTAAAGCTCTGCTTAGATTCAAAATACAAAAACAACTCAATTATCATGGTTTGGGTTAAGGACTTGGTTAAGGACCCATCCATCCACCACGATTCCTCCAGTGAGGGCGTCGTCACCGTATAGCAGTCACATTTACTAAATAATGCAACAACTAGAGAGCCTGAATGTAATGTAATACATTTAGTGGTGCTGTATTTAACCATACAGATTGTTTGTGGTTTATTTGTTCAGGTTTTTACATATACTGTATGTCTTCACCAACAGCAGCATCTCTGTCCAGAAAAATTGTCCCAATTATGCAAGTTAATACACCAAACAAGTTGTCATCATTTTCTCTTGAATAATTTCTCTGAAATAAAGTACTTTCAGTGCAAACCATTCACAGTGTTCACAGTGAGGACTGTGAATTATCCAGAGAATCCAGGACATTGCCTCCGGAAAAAATATATTGCTGTTGAACTTTATAAATGAAATTCTTCAATGCTGTGAACACCACAAATGAAATTCTTCTTAACTTGTTTGTATTGCTGTGAAGGTAAGAATCTCACAGACAGATACCTCCATGCCAGAGCAAATAAAACCCAAAGTATTTAACTATTTGCAGGCTTTAATCCCATTCTAAAAAAAAAAAAAAAAAAAAAAAAAAGAAAAACCTCTAATGGATGCTCTTCATCTACATATGAGAGTTGTCACGGCCTCCTTAATTATAAATGACCTCATTTAATCTGCACACTGAAAAAAGACTTTGCTGTATCTGAATTTTGCTGCACCCAGTGAATAATGTGATACAGGTTGCAAATGTAACAATGAACAACTCTTTACAGTGAAGCAAGGTGAGATCTGGGTCTAGGTTATGTTGATATTCTGGAGTAGACACCAGCAGCGCCCTGTGTTTTCTCCTCTGGCTGCTGTCTAACCTTGGCTTCTCCTAGTTGCTGTGTTGACAGGCTCACTATGTCTAACACAGCTTTTCTTACTTGTGACAGCTTCTAGCATCTCTGATTCAAGACAAGAGAGGTGCACAGAACTCGTTACAAAGGAACCTCAAAGTAGAAGAGCCTGAACTGACATGTTAGAGAATCTCTCATTTGTGGGAAGCTGTCATTTGATCATTTTAAAGTTGAACCTTACAGTTGTTTCCAAGAAAAACAACGTCAAAATGTACATCTTACTTAAGATAAAGGACTGTAAATTACTGCTGGGCCCCATTTAAAGTAATCAAATCTTTCAACTAAAATGTATGTGAGCTGAAAAATGTATGTGGTACCACTTTTTTGCTATTAAAAAGAGGCTGGAATTTTTTCACTTATGTTTTTGTTGATATACTTGACCAAACTCCAGAAAAACTTCACTTAGTAGTTATTAGTCCTCAAGATTAAGATTCGAAAGAAAATTTGAATCAATAATTTGAAACAGTCAGCAAACACAGGCTCTTTCTGCCAAAGAACAATTCTTGAAGCACCAGTGAAATCCAGATTTTTGTTTGAGGCCCCTGGT